GTCCAGAGCGGGCCCGGCGAGCGGAGGGCCGGCCGGTCCCCGCCGAACGCACCCTCCAGCGGGGCAGCCCCAGCCCCGGGCCTCCCGGCCCGGCCCGCCCCTGCCCCCGACGCCGGGCCCGAGCTCCGGGCCCCGAGCCCCCGGCCCCCGAGGTCCCTGGCCTCCGCACCGCAGCCCGCCATTCAGCCCGCGCGCGCGCGCGAGCCTGGCCCTCACCAGGTCGATGTGGGAGAAGCCGGTGAGCACGAGGTTCTTGAGGAGCTCGCAGCCGATCCCGCCCGCGCCCACCACCAGCACCCGGCCCCCGGCCACGGCCTCGGCCAGCTCCCGGGGCAGCCCCCGCGACAGTGCCATGGCGGGACGACCACGAGCAGCGGCCGAGGCGGAGGCGGGAGAGCCGAGCCGCGGCCGGAAGCGGGTGGGGGAAGGGCGGCCCAACTTCCGCTCCTGCGCACTGCGGCCCAGTGGGCGACAAGCGGGCGGGCACCGCGGAGTGGGGCGGTGCGGGCCCGGGACGGCTCTGCAGACGCCGAGCCGACCTCCGGCTGAGCCTAGAGGTGTTCTTCACACGTCTGGCCTAAGGAGCCTCAGGGTCGCCTAGTAGCCTGGGGTTGGAGTTCCCAGCTAAGACTTCTTAAGAGTTAGAAAACTGACGTCCCTATAATGTAAAGAGCTCTTACAAATTAACAAGAAAATGGTGTCAGCTAAACAAAAAATGTAAGCAAAGGATGTGAACAGGAACTTACAAATAAAATGGACAGTATGATCAATGCGCGTATTAAAATATAAAACATGCAAAATAGTATTAGGATTTATTTTCACCTATTAAACTGACAAAAAAAGTTAACGCACCGCTATCAAAGGATTGGGAAACAAGCACTGCCATACACTCCAGGTAAAAATTCTAAAGTAACGCTTCCCTAGAGGGCATCTTGGCAATATGATTTAAAAACTCTTAACAGGTTTTGAAATTTTAACATTCATTCCAATTTTAGGAATTTGTCCTGTGGCAGTTATCACTGACGAAACAACCCACAAAGAACTAGCCATAGGGATGGTCATCATGAGAATAAAAGTTGAAAAAAACAAATGGCTAAAAATTGTATAAAGCTTATGATGCATAGTTTATAAAATGCTTTGTAGCAATTACAAATTATGTTGTAGGGAAAATATGTATTGGTGGGGGAAATGCTCACTATAAAATGTTAAATGAAAAAGATACAGCCCCACACCATGATAAAACTGGCTCTCGTTATCCTCATCTACACAGGCAGTGCATGTCTGAACGTGGCTGGGAGTGTTTTCAAACTGCTGTTAAGGGGCAGAAGAAGGGAAGAGGCTGATAACATAAAAAGTGAATGAAGAAAGGGGAGACTGGAAAAGTGGACAGCTGTATAAAGGGACGGTGTCCAGCACCGAGTAAAGGTACCGCCCTGTGATGCTGCAGGAGCGATGGTGGAAGTGGAGTGAAGATGGGAATCTGGAGAACATGGGCAGGTCTGAATAGTAAATATCACAGAGCCAGAGTCTCAAGCAGCTAGAGTAGGTGGAGTAGGTTGCTCTGGCACCAGGAACTACAATAGGAACAACAATAGGGTGCAGTGGGATGCACAGGCCAGAGGGATAACAACAGGCTGACCACTGCTCTCGGCTCTTCCACTGTTCTCCCTTCCTCCTAGAATGCTCAGCAGGATGACTGCGCAGCAAATACCAACCCTCTGGGCTAAAGAGAAGCCACTTTCCCAGCTGCCACTGTGAAAAGATAGGCCAGTCCACAGTCACAGGGTCCTGGTTCTAGCCCCAGCCTGGGTATTAAAAAGCAAGAAGGGCAATACTTAAAAACAGAAGTTAATAACTTGTGAATTAAAATAAGATAAACACACACATATATGGACATTAAAATTTGTTTTAATTTATGTAAGTAAAAGGAAATGCTCTACTTAAATAACAGTTCATCTGGATCTTCTTGTATAATACAAAATTCTTCCATGGGAGTTTGATGGTTTTGAGGCCAGCAACTCTTCTCACATGTATAAACTAGAATTGTTCCAAATTCCACAGAAAGACCTGAAAAATACAACATATTCAGGATTCCAGCCAAAAGAAAATTGCAAGATACACTCAAAATGCACATTTACTTAGTAGATGTAGCACAGACTCTGAAGCAATACTACCTGGGTTCAAATACAAGCTCTACCACGTCAAGCAAATTACTTCACTTCTCTGTGACAAAGATAGTATTCACTGGTTAGGCACAATGGCTCATGCCTGTAATTCCAACATCTTGGAAGTCCAAGGTGAGAGAATAGCCTGAGCCCAGGAGTCCAAAAGCAGCCTGTGCAACATGGTGGAACCTTGTCTCTACAATAAATGAAAAAAATTAGCCAGGCATGGTGGCGTAAACCTGTAGTCCCAGCTGCCTGGTGAGTGGGATTAAGTAAGGTAATACATATAATACATACACTTGCTGATGCTGAAAATCTGTATATATCATAAAACTGAGCCTGGCACATCTTAAGTGTTCACAGTAAAACAAAGAGGCTAAGTAATCAGAAGACAACAGAAGTGAAGGAGAAAGATGGCCCAATATCACAATAACTGATGTTGCTAAAGGAAGTGATTGTATCTTACAAGCTGAAAAAATAGGTAAAACAAAAACAGTGCTTACTGCTTTCAGCCACAATACAGTCACAGTCTGTCCTACAGCACTGATAATGAAAATAGATTAATCAAAAACAGCAGGAAAACATACTCGAAAATAAAATTTCCACGAGTCTTCTTCATTACAAGTGTCTAAACTCTCTGATGCTGAAAATCCATATATATCACAAAAGAGAATACACTAATGCAAAGAAAAAATTCAGGCAAAAATGTAAAATAAATCCTAAAAGTTTACAGAAATTTGTCAATAAATAGAGCCACAAAAAATTACACCATGAAAACATGACCAACAAGAATTCCTGCTGATACCAGAACAGAGAAGCAAAAATCAATAGGAAGACTTGGAGCAGCAAAGAAGAAATACTTTTTAAAAATGCATTCAGAGAATGGAGGGAAAAAAAAATCACCAAATACAAAAGGACACTACAATAGGACTGGTTTAAGAAATAATCTGGTATAATCCCAACACTTTGGGAGGCTGAGGTGAAGGGATTACCTGAGCCTAGGGGTTCAAGAACAGCCTGGGCAACTTGGCGAGACCTCATCTCTACAATAAATCAAAAAACTAGCCAGGCGTGGTAGCACATGCCTGTAGTTCCGGAAGACTGAGGCGGAAGGATAGCCTACTTGGAAGGCTGAGGTGGAAGGATAGCCTCAGCACAGCAGGTCGACGCTGGGGTGGCCATGAGCATGCTACTTCCAGCCTGGGTGATGGAGTGAGACTCCAACTCAAAAAATAAAAAAAAAGAAAGAATCTGGTAAATTTGAGATAATTTCCAACAAGAAACATATAAAAGGCAGTTTACAGAAGGCATGAGAAGACTGAAGCCTCAGAACTAGTAACCACCAGGCAAGGAAAGAAGGTATAATAGAAGGGATCACTCAGAATAAAATCCTAAAAATATTGTATGTGAGGTCTGAGCCCAGAGATCTGCCAGTCAGGGGGTGGCAACAGGAGAAAGAGGCAACACATGAAGCCAAAACAGCCTGCACATCTAATAAAAAAAAATCAGAAACCACAAGGAAGAGAAAAAAAAAACAGGTGAAAATCTAATCACAAGCAGACAGAAAAGGCTTGAAAGAATCTCAATGAATGCAGAGGGAAAAGACAAAGACCTTACTATGGACTTGAAAGGACAAAGGTAACCAAAGCAACTGCTGTTGTTTCTGCTGTTGTTTCAGTAGAAAAGCAACAGATGCCATAGAAAATATATACAGAAATAAAAAGGAAGAAAAAATAAATCTGCAGGTCCAAAGACACACCTCTGAATGTATCACAATAAAAGTGATATAATAAGACACCAAGATATTGTACTATAGTGATTGGACTTCATCAATAAAGAAGATTCTACAGGTATTCTGAGAGAAATGTTAGAAACAAACCAGGTCACTCTCAAACTTCTACAAAGCAACATTTAATGCTAAAGGACAGATATATAAAAGTGAAAGATCTCAGTGACCAGAATACCCACAAGCTCTTCCAGAAAAATGTACTTCCCAGTAAAGCCCAACTACCAGGAGATGCCAAGAAGCACCAGATCAAAAGGCAGGCAGGACTTTCACTGTCAGAAGACAACACAGGGTTTACAAAGTTCTGAAATAGCAGGACTTAAAATTTTATACATGAAATTATAATTATTAAAATATAAAGCCACAATGACATTAGCACATATATTGTGAAGCAGGATACCTATGAGCCCTCTTCCTTAAGGCTATTACTTGGATAAAATCCAGCTATTGGAAAAAGAATCAAAGTATCAGGAACAAAAAAGCTCATAGTAAGAGTGGTGATGGACACTGAATCCATTTACACATAGAACTAAGGCTAAACAAACGACTGTGAGAATTATAGCTACAGAATATAGACTTGTAAACCTCGATAATGCGAAAATTATATCAAAATATTTGGAGGTAAGAGTAGAGCGTAAATGTCCTTATCTATTATGGTAAGGAGCCAGATGAATGTTACCTACAATTGAAATAGAATGAATGTAATTTTCTCTGAATATCTGAAGGATATTGGAGAAAATTGGGCCTCTTGGAAAAAAACCCCATTACCTAAACTCCAGCAATGTTTCACTTACACTTAAACTTCCCTTCTTTTTTAAGCCCAGGGAGTGGGTGGCAGAAACAAGGGAACTTCTTCTATAATTTTTTTTTTAAATAAGCATTCTAAAACGATTTATTTATTTAATTTAGAGATGAGGTCTTCCTGTGGTGTCCAAGCTGGCCTCAAACTCCTACACACAAGCGATCCTCCATCTCAGCCTCCCAAAGTGCTAGCACTACATGCATAAGCCCTTTCACTTATTACTTATTTGTGTGTTTCTTTATTGTAGAAATGGGGCCTTGCTATATTGCCAAAGCTGGCCTCAAACTCCTGGGCTTCAGCAGTCCTCCACCCCGGCTCCCCAAAGTACTGGCATTACAGGCATAAGCCCAATTAACATGTGCTGAATTTTCCTACCATTAGAAAATTATTTTTTTCTAGCAATCCATCATCTTACTATCTGTGTTTATTTCAAGAATTATCACTGGAATAATGGCTATTAAAGTTCCTAATAATGGTTATTTCTGGGTAGTGGTATTTGGGACCTTTGCTTTCTATTTTATACTTCTCTGTATTGCTTGAATGTTTTAAAATAATAAAATATAATTTTAAATAAAGTTGACGTTCTTTTTTTTTTTTTTTTTTGAGTTGGAGTCTCACTCTGCCATCCAGACTGGAGTGCAGTGGCCTCTCCCGGCCACCGCAGCCTCAACCTACTGGGCTCCGGCGATCCTTCTGCCTCAGTCTTCCAAGTAGCCGGAACTACAGGTGCGCGCTACCACGCCTGGCTAATTTTTTGATTTATCATAGAGATGAGGTCTCGCCAAGTTGCCCAGGCGGGTCTCGAACCCGCGGGCTCAGGCAATTCACTCACCTCAGCCTCCCAAAGAGCGGGATTACAGGCTGAGTCATTGAGCCCAGCTAAAGTTGACTTTCTTTAAACCAAGCGTACTTGTATAAAATTTACAGCTACGCCCAACTGCCACTTAAAAAGCATACACTTTGAGTGACTTACCAAGAATTTGGCATGTATCTAGCATTTTAATAAGTGCCAAGGCACACAGATGGTGCATATAACGATGTCAGTTTTTAAATATTTGATTTTAGGTGGTTTCTTTTCTTCAGTTGGAGTCTCACTCTGTCCCTCAGGCTGGAGTGTAGTGGCACACTCATGGCCACCACAGCCTTGACCTGCTGGGTTCAGGCGATCCTTCCACCTTAGCCTTCCAAGTAGCTGGAACTACAGACACACGCCCGGCTAGTTTTTGTGATTTAGTGTAGAGATGAGGTCTCACCATGTTGCCCCAGCTGGTCTCAAACCTCTGGGCTCGGACAATCCTCTCGCCTTGGCCTCCCAAAGTGCTGGAATTACAGGTAGAGCCCTCGCACCTGGCCTGATTTTAGATGTTTTTTTTTGAGTTGGAGTCTCACTCTGTCATCCAGACTAGAGTGCAGTGGCACAACCCCAGCCACTGCAGCCTCGACCTGCTGGGCTCTGGCGATCCTTCCGCCTCAGCCTTCCAAGTAGCTGGAGTTACAGGCGTGCGCTAACACACCCAGCTAATTTTTTTTTTATTTATTGTAGAGATGAGGTCTCGCCAAGTTGCCCAGGTGGGTCTCGAACCCACAGGCTCAGGCAATTCACTCACCTCGGCCTCCCAAAGCACGGGATTACAGGCTGAGCCACCGGGCCCAGCCTCTGATTTTAGTTTTAACAGTTTCTTCCAGTTCAGCCTAAGAGTACCAGGAAAAAACAAAACATTTTTCGGGTAGTAGTAATCCATTGCATATGACAGAAGGATGAAAACCCACTTGAGGAATATCACAGATTTTCTTATTATTCTGTCATACAAGACTCAACTTGCTACTGTAGAAACTGTGCAAATTTAAGTCCATTTTCATTTTAAAATTTAATGTGCCTAGCCAATTAACAGACTGCATATGAGAATCATTAATTATGCAGTATAAAACTGGTAAACAATTTGATGAGGATTAACCAGTCATGATGGTTTACACCTACAACCTCAGCACTTTGAGAGGCTGAGGTGGGAGGATCACCTGAGGCCAGGAGTTCGAGACCAGCCTGGGTAATAAAGTGAGAACACATCTCTACAAAAAAAAAAGCTAAGTGTGGTGGTGCATGCCTGTAGAATCAGTTACTGAGGAGGCTGAGGCAGAAGGATCACTTGAACCCAGGAGTTAAGAGGCTGCAGTGAGCTGTGATCAAGCCAATGAACTCCAACCTGGGTGACACAGTGAGACTAAAAAAAAAAGAATTTGATGAGGAATGATAGGTTGGTGCATACAGAAAAATTCAGCCGGTCAGAAAATTATACCAGTGGAAAGAGAACCAGCA